CGTAAAGATTGTTACGTGCATGTGTCGAGTACTACCAGAAAGATAAACTCTGGTCCAGTAGAATGAGATCACATTGGTGCGTAAAGATTGTTACGCGCGTTTGTGGAGTACCACCAGAAAGATAAACGTTGGTCCAATAGAATGAAATCATCTGGGTGCGCAAAGATTGTTGAGCATGTGTCTTCTACTACCAGAAAGTTAAACTTTGATCCAGTAGAATGAGATAAATATTATTATATATGTGTATGAGAATATATATGAAATATATATTTGTACTGTGGTTGTAACGTATCAAATTGAGCTGATCCTCGTAGTATATGAAGCAACTTATGCACCTGCAAATTGAAAGACTTAGAAAAAATTCTGAGTCTCGGAACGGGACTTTAAGCCGTGCCCTAGCAATTCCGGTGCCATGCTCTAATCACTGAGCTACCAACTTATGCAGCTTCAAATCGAAAGACTTGGTAAATCAGTGGTTAGAGAGTGGTTTGGGTATTATAATATTTTCAAGGCTGAAACTCCTTTTCTTATTCTTTCTCGTTTAACTAGCTCCTAATTTAGTATTTATCATATGTCTTGCAGTGGGAATTCGAAAACCGTGACAAGGACAAGAACAGAGAGCTCGACGACAATGAAATCAAAACGATTGAAAATCGCCTGTTGCCTCTAGAAAGTTGTATTCATGGCTTCTTGAAATCTTGTGATCTGGATGGTGTTGGTGGGATCAGTGCAAGGGAGTGGTCTACGTGCTTTCCCAGAGGAAGTAAGTTAGATGAATAACATATTATAGAGGTAGTATGTCATGCATAGTATATGTCTCTCAGGCCCCGTCCACACTATGCCGGATAACTTGAATCCGCTTCACACCGAAACCGAAAAAAAAGTTTTCCGTCCACACATGAAAACGGATAAAATGTTTCGCGTCCGCACTAGTCCGATCAGAGGCGGCAAAAACGCTTCATTGCACATCTGAGCATGTGCATCGAAGCTGAAATTGAGCCCGCGGTGAGTTTTAAGCCTTCCCGCCATGTTCCCATGACAATCATGACGTCATCGTACTCGGATACGAAATGTTCTCCGTCCACACTAATACGGCTAGCCGGCGTTTTCAAATTGTTTTACTCTGGAGACCGTGTTCGAAAAAAATCGTTTTCGGTGAAGAGTTGTTCCGGATTCGCCCGGACTAGTGTGGGCGGTAGGCCTAACCGAATAAATTCGGATTCAAATTTATCCGGCATAGTATTGACGGGGCCTCAGACCAAAGTAGAGAGTTTGAAAAAAAACTCCTTTGTCTTGGTGCCCTTTTAGGTTGAGAGTCGACGTTGCACATCTTATTTTTTGTCTTTCAGTACCCTAAAAAATATTTAAGTTTGCGTCTCCTCCGATCAGCAGGGTAACACACAACAGGCATCTCTCATTCTGCCGAGAATCTGTCCTTTTACAATCCCAAATTCCCGATGCCCAGACCCCGTTAATAACTACTAATTTGCAATAATACTGCTCTAATGTTTCCGTTTCACCTTCTAGGGAGGAGTGAAGCCACAGGAAGCAGAAAATTATAAAGACCTGCTTTCCAGCTTCTTCTACACTATACTTGGTATCATTTTTATTTGTTTATCATTTGTTGCTGTTGATCTAAAATCCAGAAGCGAGGAGGATTGATTGAATGACGATACGCACGATAAACGAATTTTTTCATCTTTCATGTGGTATTTTTCTTATTATTTTGCTTTTCTTGTTATTATAGATAGTATATTTATGTCTTGAAAGTAATGCGTTGATATATTAAAATGATCAAATTTGTTTGAATTTTGCTACTTCTGATGAATAATAGATTAAAAATTAATTTTACACCTTTAGGCATATTCTTTCTTTTATGCACTAGTCAATTGAAACCCCCGCCCCCCGACCCCCGCGGCTAGCGGGGCACTGAACGGGGACGTGACGCGTTTTTTATGTGCTTTTAAGAGCATGATTGCACCGGGGGTTCGCGGAAGTAGTAGGGTAGGGGCAGCACAACCCCTTTTTTGGACGGGGAAGGGGACGGGGAAGGACGGGGTACATTAATTGTTCATCGATCATTAGCATAAAACGACGGGTAGGTATTGTTTCGGGTTACCATGACGACCAATTGACGTCATAAGACTATTGTTGACCGGTATGAACAAGACTTTGTTTCGGGAATGGTGGGCCAGTGATGGGCACCTCCATTGTTTATTAAATCGTTACCATAAAATGACGAGCAGACTATTGATTATTAAACCGTTACCATAAAATGACGGGGAGACTATTGTTAGGCAAGTTTGGGCAAGTCTTTTGTTTAGCAATTCAATTTATAGAGCGCGGGGACTTTGAATTTTTTTATTCCAAAACTCAACCAACCAACCAAGCAAGACCTAAAAAAATTACTTTTGAGAAACGCAATGGCTACGTTATTCCAGTTAGGATCTCGAGGATATCATGCTACCGTCAATGAATTCAAAGGGCAGATCCTGATCCACATCCGAAAATACACTGATTTTCCTGACGCGGAAAAGGTTCCAACAAAGTATGGAGTGTCTCTTTCCATTCAAGAGTTTGAAGAATTGAAAAAAGTCATCACGGACTTGAGTGAGATGGTCAACGTTATGGCAGAAACGAGTCCTATATCCACCCAACCCGGAGATCAAACAAGAATTCAGAACCAACAAGTAATTGATCCACGAGCTACGAACCCTAAGTCAAAAGGTTTCGC